GAATGGATGTTATGTCTTGATTAGGGAACACCTCTCTTACCTACTATTATAAAAACAAAGCCTGTTTATGAAGTCCTACCAGAAGCTGCAGTTAGAAATATGAGTTGACAGGATTAAAGTTGGGAGGACGATTTGTTTGAAGTGGTTGAGTCTCTTTTACCTGAAGAGTGTACGGGGGTCGGACATTGTGTCTGTCAGGGGTGGGACGGGGGATGGAGGGTGGGACTGTGTAAAACAGATGCATGTGAATCTGCCCTTCAAGCAATATGAATGAGAGATGTGAAACGGAAATGACTAAGATGGGAACTTAAGAGGATTACACTGGACTCAGCATGATAGCTCAACTGGCTAATCCTCGTCTCGCAAGCGCCAGGATCCCATATGGGTGCTGATTTGCATCCTGGCTGTTCCACTTCCCATTCAGCTCCCTGCTTGTTGCCTGGGAGGACCATGGAGGATGGCCCAAAGCCTTGGGATCCTGAACCTGCATGGCAGGCCTGGAAGAGGCTCCTGGTTCCTGGCTTTAGATTGGTTCAGCTCTAGTCATTATGGCCATTTAGGGAGTGAACCAGAGGCTGGAGGATCGCTCTGTCTCTCTTTCTCTCTGTAAATGTGCCTTTCCAATTAAAATAAAACAAATCTCTTAAAAAGTATAGTATGGGGCCCGGCACGGTGGTGCAAGTGGTTAAAGGTCCTCGCCTTGCACGCCTGGGATCCCATATAGGCGCCGGTTCTAATCCCGGCAGCCCCGCTTCCCATCCAGCTCCCTGCCTGTGGCCTGGGAAAGCAGTTGAGGACGGCCCAAAGTTTTGGGAACCTGCAGCCGCATGGGAGACCTGGAAGAGCCTCCTGGCTTCGGATCGGCATAGTATCGGCCCGTTGTGCTCACTTGGGGAGTGAATCATCGGACGGAAGATCTTCCTCTCTGTCTCTCCTCTCTGTATATCCGCCTTTCCAATAAAAAAATAATAAAAATAAATCTTAAAAAAAAAAAAGTATAGTATGGACACATTCTCTGCAATAGCTAAATACAAAGTGTAGGCTAGGGGTTCAGTGCAATAGCCTATTGACTAAATCCTCACCTTGCTACTGCCAGGATCCCATGAGTACCGGTTCATATCCTGGCTGCTCTACTTCCTATCCAATTCCCTGCTTGTGGCCTGGGAAAGTGGTGGACAGCGGCCCAAAGCTTTGGGACCCTGCACCCATGGGGGAGACAGGGAAAAGAAGTTCCTGGCTCCTGGCTTTTGATTGGCTCAGCCCCGATCATTGCGGCCACTTGGGATGAGAACCAGCAGAAGGTAGATCTTTCTGTTTGTCTTTCCTTCTCTTTATATATCTGCCTTTCCAACAAAAATAAATAAAGCTTTTTTAAAAAGTAGGCTAGGACTAACGCAAAGCAAGTGAGTGCTTCCTGGTGATAAGCTGGGACTTTGGACTAGAGAAAATCCATTTAAGAGGCAACTACTAGACTACTATCAGACATTACTTGAAACTGTCCTAGGGCCAGCATTGTGGTGTAGCGAGTTAAGCTGTTGCATAAGACACCAGCATCCATATGGGTGCTGGTTTGAGTTCCCACTGCTCTATTTCTAATCCAGTTCCCTGCTAATGGCCTGGGAAAAGCAGCGGAAGAAGCCCTTGTTTCCTACGCCCTGGCTCAGCTTTGACCACTGAAGCCATCTGGAAAGTGAACCAATGGTGGAAGATTTGTTTGTCCCTCTCTCTGTAACTCTGACTTTCAAAATAAGTAAATATATCTTGGGGGAAAAAAACCCTGGAGCCTGACACAGTAGCCTAGTGGCTAAAGACCTCACCTTGAACATGCTGGGATCCCATATAGGGCGTTGCTTCTAATCCTGGTGGCCCAGCTTCCCATCCAGCTCCCTGCTTGTGACCTTGGAAATGGAAATCAGTTGAGGACGGCTTGAAAGCCTTGGGACACTGCACCCATGTGGGAAACCTGGAGGAGCTTTCTGGCTCCTGGCTTCAGATCAGCTCAGCCCCAGCCATTGTGGCCACTTGGAGAGTGGATCAGCGGATGAAAGATCTTTTTTTTTTTTTTAAATCACCATAGGAATCTGATAGGTGTATTTAAAGTAGGTCAGATAAATATTCATCAAAAAACTCCTAACCAAATTTGGAATGTGATTAGAACCAGTGGACAGACATCATGGTGTGCTTCCTTGAGGCACCTCTTGCTTGGATCCATGCATGAGTGGACACAGAAGGATGTGCTGTGACAGTGAGGAAGTTTCACTAAATTCAGATGTATTCTTTTTGCACACTCCGAAACACAAAATACCAATAGAATTGTGTCTGTCAGCAAGAGACAGAAACTGCAGACTGTCTTTGGAGAAGGTACCCTGGAAGAAGACCTCATGCAACAATGGGAAGTCAATTACACTGAAAGGTCAACCCTGGTAGCCCCCAGGAGTTAATGCCAGGGATATACACAGATCCTAGGCTGGGCTTTGCTTACCTGGTGGTAAATACCAAAGGTCAACAATACCGTACAGGAAACAGAGCATAAAATATCTCACCAATTTGGACCACAGAGTCCCACTTCCTCAGGTCCAGGAATAGTATTGTGTACAGCCCATAATGGGAAATAACACATGGATTTCCCTAGAGGAATAGTGTGATAGAGAATTGGAGAGGCCAAATGAAACACCAACTGCCTAAGACAGGATGAGGTGTAGGCATGAAGGGCTGACTTACATATTTTGATTACTGTGTGTGCTTGTATTCAACATGAGCTAAGGGAGTATCCTCATTTGGTAAATTTTCTTTCTAAGTTTGTGGATTCAGGGAAGAATTCACAAACTTAAAAAGAATCCACAGTGTTCAGGAGAACACTGGTATGATGACTATGCTTTGCTTTTTTCTTCTACACATTACCTCAATTTTTTCCTTCCTATTAAATGCAGTGTCTGCAGGATGAGGCAGGGATTCAATGATCAGTGCTAGAAATGAAGATGGTTTCAGCTAGCAGAAGCTAGCATGGGGGAATAAATCTACCAAATTAAACTGCAGAACTACCTGGAGAGTGCATGACATGGGAACAGGAGTGGGCCCAGCAGGGAAACAGTAGGCACCTCCCTTACGGGTTGCCACTCTGTCTGGTGAACAGGAGAATCCAGACTAGGGCAGGCATGGCTAGACAGAGAGTGGCACCCTTCAGCAGGTGTGTGGGCTGGATAGTGGGACTGGTTGGATTGAACTAGGCTTCAATAACCATTGGCATGTATGAGAGCTGAATGGGATGTGAGACAGACTGAACCAGTCTTAGGTACATACTGGCAAGCATGGTATCCAGGGCAGGGGGCAGCCTGGTGAAGGTTATTGGGAGTCATCCCAACTAGGCTGCATCTCCCACTGGTTTATGTGGCCAAGTGTATGGTGGGTAGGATTGGGATGGGTTCCAATACCCATTCCCATTGGTTTGTGTAGAAGACAGGGCTGGAGGAAGAACTGACCTAGAGATTGCGACCACCAGCATATGCATAGGCTGATAGGGGTGAGGGACTGTGCTGGACCCTGCATTGGCAAGCACACTCAAAAATCTGGTCTGGGATCACTTCAGATGAAGTTTCTTTGGGGATCCCCCTAATTGAACTGCCAGGTTCAGAATCCCAACCATGAAGAGAACTGCAGGTTCCATGGTCTGACTGTGAAGTGCGTGTATCAAAGCTGAGCCTCCTTAGTGGCTCAGACAGAGCAGCAGACAGCATATCCAGGTGCACATGGAGGATATGGTAGTACACTGGAGCCTGCAGGACAACTGGCACCACAACAGAGGACAGAACAAATTGATCAACAATCCCAGCCAAGTGCTGGCAGTGAAACTCTGGGCAAGTGGAGACGCTAAGGTGGACTATGTAGGCTGGTGGATTCTGAAGAGATTTCATCGTGCTTGGCAGAACAGTTGAACTATCGAAACCACTTGAGCAATGCCCTCGGAGCACGTCCCACAAAGGGACCCTGGGATGGTTGGGAGGGTGGGTGTGGCTTCTCCCTTTGTCTCTCCCCTACCCCCAGATACAGGAAGGAAAAAAGAGAATGTGGAAACAATGGCCTTACCCATTTTCCTGTAGCCCCTGATCCTTTAAGCCCTAATCAATTATGTAAAGATCATTAAAAGAGAGAGAGAGAGAGAGAAAAGAAATGAAGATGATTTCTGTACAACAAAATAAAGTTTAAAATATTTGTCAGAATTGCTAAGCACCTGATGAATGATGAAGCAGGTTGTGCCCTCACCCTCTAGAAAAATTGGAGTTAACAGTGTGTGCAATTATACTGCTTGGTGGTAGAAGTAATTCATCAGTTCTCTACCCATGTAACTGTATCCTGTCAGAATGAGAGTAGACTGCAGGGAAGGTACTCACTAACGCCCACAGTCTAGACCCGCATGGTAAGCGACCCTAATATTTCTGCCAAAGGTGGAAATGTTTGGAGATAAGGACAAAGAACAGTTGGGGTTACATGGCAAGTTCTGTGAGTCATATTAGAAAATCACTGAACCTCAGTAGGTGCAGATTGTGGGGACCCCTAATTTTGGGGTCACACTGGACAGAAGTATAGATTATATGAGATTGATAAGACTGAAGTGGGTCAGTCTTGTGGGACTGACTACTTAACCTGTGCTCACTCTAGGATATCAGAATTGAATTGAACTATTAGACACCCAGTTACTGTCTGGAAACTTGAGGAATTTGTTGTTTGTTAAAAAAAAAAACCCACAAACTTTCTGCCATGAAAAAGAGTAAATTAAATATTATTTTAAAGAAATATAATTTGAATATAAGCATCTTAAATTCTAATATTTGTTAATATTCTATAACAAACTGTTAAATTCTAATATTCGTGAAATAAAAAAAAATTTATCAGTTCTAAGAAGCCCATAAAAGCAAGTTTTCCTTAAAGAACTAATTTCTTCTTCACACCAAAACTTACCACACCTACAACCATTAGGTTTTAGTTTATCCACTCCAGCTCACCTCCTGTATCTTCATCTTCATTGGCTGGGCCTTCTGCATTGTCCACATTTTCTATTTCATGACATTTGGTTAAGTTGTAGTCATTCAAAGCTGCTGGACTTTCTAAAAGACAAAAAGTTTTACATATGCAGTCAACTTTAAGAAATATTTAGAAGTATGTATAAGCATTAAGTAGACTTCCATTTGATGTAAAGTTCCATATAATCCCCTAGTGGTTAAAAGCAGCCTCTTCACACCCAAGCGGCACATATAAAAACTCCTTAAGATTTGCAACTGTGGGGCCCGGCGCGGTGGCGCAAGTGGTTAAAGGTCCTCGCCTTGCACGCCCGGGATCCCATATGGGCGCCGGTTCTAATCCCGGCAGCCCTGCTTCCCTTCCAGCTCCCTGCCTGTGGCCTGGGAAAGCAGTCGAGGACAGCCCAAAGCTTTGGGAACCTGCACCCGCGTGGGAGACCCGGAAGAGGCTCCTGGCTTCGGATCGGCATAGTATCGGCCCGTTGCGCTCACTTGGGGAGTGAATCATCGGACGGAAGACCTTCCTCTCTGTCTCTCCTCTCTGTATATCCGCCTTTCCAATGAAAAAATAATAAAAATAAATCTTTAAAAAAAAAGATTTGCAACTGTGCTCAGGGTTCATGTGTCTTTTCATTACACAATTGGTGTATTCTTTCACGCAAGTCAAAAATGCACTTATGGGCACAAGAACTGTGGTACAATGGCTAAGACGCCTCTCTGGATACTCATGATATGCGAGTGTCAGTTCAAGCCCTAGCTGCTCCGCTTCTGATGCAGCTTACTGCTGTGAGTCCCTGGAGGCAATGGTCATGGTTTACATGCTTAGATCCCTGCTACTCACTTGCGGAGACCCAGAGTTCCTAACTCTTGATTCTGGCCTGACCCAGTCTTGCCCTGGGTGCTATGGGCTTTTGGGAAATGAACCAACAAATGGAAGAACTCTCTCTCTTTTTGCTCACTCTCATTGTTGCTCTCACTCTGCCTGTCAAGTAAGTGAAAATAAACATTTTTTTTTTAAACACACTATATTCTTTCTGGAGAGAAATTCTGTCTCTGTTGAGATATTGAGTGTCACCATTACTTATGCCTAAGATGTATTATTAATTTTAGCTTGAGAAATATTATGTCTGAAAACAATGGCATAATTAGATTTGAGAAGACTGCTTTCCTAAGTGAAAGCCAGTAAGCTTCTGTATTCAAAATTCTATCTCTTCCCTCTTGTTCACATCAGAAATGTGATTCTGTGGAAAACATATTAGCCAAATTAAAGTTCCTTTATTTCTTTGAACATTTACTACATGCTAACAAGGGTATATATCTATATAATGTCTGTTCTCATTGAGCTTATATTTAGCAAATATGGACAAAAGACCTCAATTATAATGCAAAGCAGAGACAGAGAAGGGATTAAAAGTATTTTGGAGCTCATTAAGTAAAAGGAAATAGATATGAGAGAAGCATGTTTAACCAAGCAGCAAATTTGCTTAAAAAAATCAGACTTAAGGAAAATACAGCTTTATACAATAAACATTGATAATACCAGAAATAAGAAAAAGGAACAATGTGAATATTTTTACATATAAAGCATAGTACATGTGCTGCTAAAGCCAGCACTACACATAAAGCATAGTAACCTAATAAAAAGATAACAGCAGAACAATGAACTGAAAATTCACTGTTTTCTATCAAGCTCCTTTGCAGTGTTCAATAAAATATGAAACAGTCTAATTAACTCCTCTAGCATTTAGACTGATCTAAACTAGGAGATGTGACCAGAAACTCTATACCAACATTTATTCCATGACCAAACACATGGAGCAGGGCATTTACTGGAATGTGGAACTAAAATGGAAACCCATTTGATAACATCTATGACTAAGAACACTGCAAATGTGATCACTATGGAGCTACTTTCTGATTTATAAATACCTAAGGTTTCTAATTTCTGCATAATACAACATTTTCTGTGATACTGTTTTAAAAAAATGGTCCACTTTTCTCAAGCCAAAATGACTAAATATAACGTATACATAAATAATCAATATGAGCTTCAGGGTCAATGAAATATGACATTACAACTCACAGCAATGCAAAAAGACACTTCAGTAATAAATTTTGTAACAACATAAGCTTTGACTCAAACAAAACAAGTGAACCAATGGAGAAAGCACTGGTTTATTTTAATGTTTTATTTTAAATGTTTATAGCTCATCCTAGAGCAGAGGCCAGCCAATGAAAGCCCAAGAGTTAAATCATGGCCTGTTTCTGTAATAGGCCTAGGAGGGAGATGTTATTGCATTCTAATAGATTGTAAAGAAATACAAAGAGAAATATGTGATAGACACTACATTTGACCTGCAAAATCTAAGACGTCTCCGTTTTGGTCCTTTGCAAAGAAATTTGCTAATCAGTATTCTAGTGTGAAACACACAAATCACATAAACGCAAGCCCCTATATTATTCAACAAAAAATGTCTACATCTGAGCCAATCAGTTGAAATTTTTTAAAACGAATTAAAAAAAATAGTGATCAACATTAGATAGGGTATGGTTTGATCCTATAATCCTAAAAACCTGTATAATCTAAAATGGACAATTTTTTAACAGCAAGAGAAAACAGTATTTTTTTTAAAAACTACATTTCTAAGACTGGTATGGCACATCAAATTAATGCACCACTTGCAATTCCTGAATCCCGTACCAGATCGCGGGTTAGAATTCTGGCTATTCCACTTTGGATGCAGCATCTCGCTAATGCACCTGGGAAGGCAATGAAAGGTGGTCCCAGTACCTGGACCCCTGCCAGGCATGGAGGGGTATCAGGATGGACTTTCTGACTCCTGGGTTTGGTCTGCTCCTACCCTGATTGTGGCATATATTTCAGAGAACCAGAGGATATAAGACATCTCTCTCTCTCTCTCCATTGTCACTTCCTCTTTCTGTCTCTCCTTGTGGTTTCTGGTTTTAAAATAAATAAATAAATAAATAAATAAATAAATATTAAAACCTATATGCACACACACATACACAGTTCCATAAGTATTTTTACAGCAGCCAGAACAAGAACATTTCTCTTTCTGGGGTCTTTTCAGTAAAGGTGCACATCTACAAATCTGACGTTACCTGCAGGCACAGACTGCTCCTGAGTGCTTTTCAGGTCTGCATTTGCTTGTATATCTGAAAAAAATGAGTTATAAAAAATATTAATTCTTAGGATATATCTCAGGACTTGTTTAAAAAGGCTATCCCCTTGGAAACCTGAGCAGCAGAATCCCTCTTTCAAAGCAGGACTATTCTCCTATGACATCCCTAAAAGTGTTTTAAAGAGAATGAAAATGAGGCACTGTCACAGCAAACGTCATGCTGAGAACTTCGTGTCAACTTATACCAACAACAATGAACGAAATAGTAGATCCCAATAGAGAGAATTGGATACCATTTATTTATTTTTTTTCCTCCATTCTATAACAACTATTTTCAAGCACATGGAAATAAAAGTTAAGATCTGCACAGTGATGGGGCCGGCACTGGGACTCAACAGGTGAATCCTCCACTTCCAAGTAGTGGCATCCCATATGAGTGCTGGTTCATGTCTCAATTGCTCTGCTTCCCTAATTGCGGTCTGGGACAGCAGTAGAGAAAGTCCTAAGTCCTTGGACTCCTGCACCCACGTGGGAGACCCAAAAGAGTCCTGGCTCCTGGCTCCAGGTTCTGGACCAGCTCAGCTGTAGCTGTTACAGCCATTTGGGGTGTGAGTCAACAGATGGAAAACTTTTCTCTCCTGTCTTTCCTTCTCCCTGTCTCCAGTTCTGTTCATCTGCTTTTCAAGCAAAAATAATAAATCTTTCTTTAAAAAGAGGGTTTGTACAGTGAACAACAACTACATAGCAACTAGATTCTATGGTTAACATTTTGGTTTTGCTTTGACATGTATCTTTTCTCCTATTCCTCATTCAATTTATCTCCCCACTGACTTTTTAAATATATTTCAAAATAAGTTGCATATTTAAATATACATCATTCTTAGCACTTCAGCATGCATATTAATTTTTAAGATTATTTTTATTGAAAAGTCAGAATTACAGAGAGGAGATACATCTTCTATCTGCTGCTTCACTCCCCAAGAGGCCTCAACGGTCAGAACTGAACCAATCTGAAGCCTGGAGCCAGGAGCTTCCTCCAAGTCTCCCACGTAGATGCAGGATCCCAAGGCTTTGGGCCGTCCTCAACTTCTTTCCCAAGCCACTAGTAGGGAGCTGGATGGCAAGTGGAGCAGCCAGGATTAGAATCAGCACCTTTATGGGATCCTGGCGCATTCAAAGCAAGATTTTAGCCACTAAGGCTATCGTGCCAGGCCTCCAGCATGTATATTATTAACTAGAATCAAATACTCATGTACAAGATTTTAATCTAGAGATCTTAAGTGCAGCATTCAATTAATTTTCAAAATTGTATATCCTCATGTAATGAAATTCCCTCTTAAGACAGAATGTTACCATTAACCAGAAAAGTTCCCTCCAGTCCCTTTCTAGTCAAGATATTCCAGGGATATAGTGTCCCACATGCTTCAGAGACAACCACTGTGGTTTTTTGTCTGTTTTTTGTTTGTTTCCGATAAATTAGTCTATCATAGAAACTCAGTAAAATGGGAAGACACATGGTATAAGCTCTTTTGCCTGAGGCTTCTTTCACCGTTTCTCAGATACATCCGTTTTGTGTGATTTTCAATCAGTAGTTAATTATTTTTTACTGCTAACCAGTACTTCAGGATATAACTATCCAAGTTTGCTTAACCATTTTCCTTTTGATGGACATCTAGACTGCTTCTAGTTTTTGTTGTTATGAATATCACTACTACTATGACTCTTTAAAAATAAATTTTTAAACTGTAGTTTTGTTTCTTTTAGAGATTTATTTATTTTTATTGGAAAGGCAGATTTACAGATAGAGGGAGAGATAGAAAGATCTTTCATCTGCTGGTTCACTCCTCAAGAAGCCGCAACAGCTGGAGTTGAGGCAATCTGAGGCCAGGAGCTTCTTCTGGGTCTCTTACATGGTCCCAGTGCTTCAGGCTGTCTTCCACAGGCAGGGAGCTGGACGGGAAACGGAGTAGCTGGGACACAATCCGGAACCTATGTGGGATCCTGCCACTTGCAAGGCAAAGAGTTAGCCAATCAAGCTATTGATCTGGGCACTAAAGTAGTTTTAAATTATAAAGAAACTGCAGAGATACTACAGAGTTCCCATACACTTCATATCAGTTTCCTCTACTGATATATTATTATGCCACTTTGATGACAATTAGCTAACAAATATTGACATGTTGTTACTATTATTATTATTACTATTTAAGTCTCCTTTTAATTCCATCTTCCCAAAAGTTCTACTAATTGAGAGAATATACAGATGTCTGCCTTGCTGTCTAAATTGCACTGGGCTGAAGATAACACTCAAGACCCAATCCATGCCTCCCTTGTAGACACCAGGAAGTCAGTTATCTGAGCCATCGCTGCTGCCTCCCTGGGTCTGCACTAGGAGACTGGACTGTTGAGGACAGGGGCTGAGAAGCAAGCCCGGACACTCAGGTGTAAGGATCTTAACCTTAGGCTAAACAACTGCTCTTTCAGATGTCCTTAGTTTTATCTAATGTTCTTTCTGTGTTTCACATTATATTCAGACATAATGTTTCCTTAAGCTCCTCCTAGTTGTGACAGTTTCCTTAGACATTCTTTCTCCCTTTGGATTTATCTTCACAATTTGAGAAGTTTATTTTGTAGAATACCTTCCAATTAGGATTTGTTTCTTGTGATTAGACAGGTATGATCATCTTTGGCAAGAGTTTATAAAAAATTATTTCTTTATATTGGAAAGACAGATATACAGAAAGAAGGAGAGACAGTAAGAAGGTCTGTCCACCGATCCATTCCCCAAGTGGCTACCCAGAGCTGAGCCAATCTGAAGCCAGGAGCCAGGAGCTCCTTCTCCTTCTGGGTCTGCCTTTTTTTTTTTTTTTTTTAAGATTTGTTTATTTGAATCCACTGGTTTATTCCCCAAATGGCTGCAACAACCAGAGCTGGACTGATGGAGCCAGCAGGCAGCTTTCTGAGTCTCCTACATGGATGCAGGGGCTCAAAGACTTGGGCTACCTTCTACTGTTTTCCCAGGCGCATTAGTAGGGAGCTTGCCAGGAGGAAGTGTGAATAAGCCAGGACTTGAACTGGGAACCATAATGGTATGCCAGTTCCAGAGATGATGGCTTTACCACAGTGCTATCTGGCCCCCTTGTGCAAGTTCTTTTTTTCAAAGATTTATTTATTATTATTATTGCGAAATCAGATATACAGAAAGGAGGAGAGATAGAGAGGACGATCTTCGTCCAATGATTCACTCCCCAAGTGACCGCAACAGCCAGAACTGAGCCAATCTGAAGCCAGGAGCCAGGAACTTCCTCCAGGTCTCCCAGGTGGGTGCAGGATCCCAAGGCTTTGGGCCGTCCTCCACTGCTTTCCAGGCCACAGGCCGCAGGGAGCTGGATGGGAAGCAGGGCAGCCAGGATTAGAACCAGTGCCCATATGGGATATGGGCACGTTCAAGGTGAGGACTTTAGCCACTAGGCCACCGCGCCGAGCCCACCCTTGCGCAAGTCTTAATGTGGCTATATGCATTTAAATATTTTGAGTAAATATCTATGTATAGAATTGCAGGGTCCTAGGATAGATGTAAACCCAAATAACTTTAATAAATAGAAATTTCTAGAAGTTGTTCTAAAACGGCTACAGTAGCAGCAGCAACTTACAAGTTCTTCTGTTGCTCCATATCCTCACCTATATTTGTTTTTTTGTCATATTTTTAAATTACAGTCATTCTAGTAAATATGGCATTTCATTCTGATTTAATTAACATTTCCCTGGAGCACTAATAATAGTGAGCATCTTTTCATATGTTTATTCATATATTTTTTATGAAATAGCCAAGTATTTTATTTCTACATTTTTATTATTCTTTAGGATTCTATATATTACCAAAACCAATCCTTTTTAAAAATATTTATTGGACCCGGCACGATGGCGCAGTGGTTAAGGTCCTCACCTTGCACGCCCGGGATCCCATATGGGCGCCGGTTCTAATCCCAGCAGCCCCGCTTCCCTTCCAGCTCCCTGCCTGTGGCCCGGGAAAGCAGTCGAGGACGGCCCAAAGCTTTGGGACCCTGCAGCTGTGTGGGAGACCTGGAAGAGGTTCCTGGCTTCGGATCGGCATAGCATTGGCCCGTTGCGCTCACTTGGGGAGTGAATCATCGGACGGAAGATCTTCCTCTCTGTCTCTCTCTGTATATCTGCCTTTCCAATAAAAATAAAATAAACCTTCAAAAAAATTTATTAACCTCTATGCCTACAAAATTGTATCATAGAAAATAAAATTTTTTTATTATCAATGCTTTGTCGCTTTGTCAGGTACAATGTTTTGGTAGTATTTTCTTCCAATTTGTGGCTTTCTTATTTTTTTAAACCTGGTTTTTAAAAGTTAATTAATTTGAGAGGCACAGAGAATGAGAGCGAGAGAGAGACATTGCTCCCACCTGCAAGCTTACTTTCCAAATGTTCGCAGAAGCTGGGAACAAGCTAATCCAAAGACAGGCGCCTGGAACTCAACTCAGATGACCCACATGGGTAGCAGGACACACTACCTAAGCTGTTACAGCTGCACACATTACAGGTGTGAACAAACTGGGGTGTGAACCTAAGTACTCTATTATGGATTGCAGACACCCCAAATGGCAGTTTAACCACTTGGCCCAATGCCTGCCCTTTATTCATTTTTTAATGTAATGTCTTTTGATATTAGCAAACTTTAAATTTTGAAGCCTAGTATATTCATTAAGTGGGTAGTTATTTCTTTTTAAGGAAAAATCTTGTCTCTGACTTGTGAAGATATCTTCCTATTTTCTTCTATAAGCTTTATATTTTTGACTTTTGTATTTCATTTCATGAGTTCATTTTCAGGTAACTTTAAAGCAGAAGATGAAGTTCATTGTTTTCCATATAGCTATTCACCTGCTCCTACATAGGTGCTGGCTCGAGTCCTGGCTGCTCCACTTTCAATCCAGCCTATTAATGCACCTGGGAAGGCAGAAGATGGCCCAAGTACCTGTCACCCACACGGGAGAGACCTAGACAGAG